TGATATTCTATAAAATAAAATTCTAATCATATCTTGCATTAGCCCCATACATGTAAAGGATCGACCATCTACTTCTATTTATATTTAAAATGAAAGGATTTTTTCACAAGTGCAATACCGTGTACAAGTTGTGCTGTACATACCACCTACAAAACATTGATTTGATTGGTGATTCAATGTGCTGAGACACGTCAGGTGAGAACGCAGTTAAATTATCGCGTAATAACAACTGATTAGATGTAATACACTGTAACATAAAAATATTGGGAAATTATCAGTGTTTGTTTCAGGAAGGAGATGGCTCCAAAATATCCCACCAACAACCTAAATATTCTAATATGGAAAACAAGTACACCAAAACATACGCTATATAAAAACTTGGTGCAAGTAAAACATGAGATTACACGGCTACGCTTGTGTTACCTAACTCTCTGTTCATGACACCAGCATTTTTATTAGCTTATGATTTTGCATGCTACATAATGTTCATTCGGTTCTCAGTTCTATTTACAAATCCATGAAAGCACATGCCAAAAAGGAAAGTTACATTTCAGCTAATATTATTATAGACTATCTACTAACTGTTGGTTGTCTTTAAATGCATAACGTCTAAAAATTGTATTGATAAAAAAGCGATAATGCTTCTGGCGAAGCTGTCAAGCAATTACAATTATAGACAGACATGTTTTTCTGAACAAGGCTTATGGTAATCTTATTTATTTTATAATTACTGAATGCATAACCTTCGAACTAGTTTTAAGATAAGGTGTTATGAAGATGAGTTCGTAAAAGTGGAGGACAACCGGTGTAAATTCAAGCAGACAGGAGAATTTCCTGATTAGTCTAGCCAGTTATTCGACTACTTGTCAATCTCAGACTGTTAAAGATTCCCATTGTGAAAATTAGAACAACACATATAAGCGAACAATTGTTTCCAATTAGATCGTCATCAAGCTTTACTCTAATATACATGAATGTTTATACGAAAATGTTAAACCAATCAAGGCAATTTGGGTCAATGATCTCAATGAAATAGAATAAGTCACCACACATGATAAGTAAAAATACAAGTTGATAGTAGGAAGACAGGTGTACTGATAGTAGTAAGAATAATAAAATACGATAACAAAAATTTTATCAATAGTTAGACGTTGGAAATAGAAGGTCAAACGTGGGTAAATAGACTTGCAATAGTCATCATAAAACATTAAAATCATGACGTAATAAGAAATGTGTAAATAATTAGATGGTGAAGAATACAAACGGAAAGAGGAGGAAAATTGCAAACAAATAATGGATGTGAAAATAAGAATAATGACAACAAAAATAGAATAAAACGAATAAATAATAATAAAAATTAAAAAAATTGTTAGTTAAGTTGTAACTGGCCATCGAAGGGATAGGGGGTTACGAATTTCTTCCGTACACATAAATTGGGGTTATATATACGAATTCCTATGGCTTCAGTTATATGTAGGAGGCGGGAACGAATTCCTTTGGGAAACGATGGAGGTATACGATAGACCACTCGAAATGATTTCGATTTATCTACATCATGACCGCTATCAATAAGATGTGCCAAGATAGAACTGCGAATTGTTTTTATCTGGCCTTTTATGTACCAAGTTGGTAGATGTTCACTCATTCGTTGGTTAAGTTGCCTGGTAGTACGCCCGATATAGCTATCTCCACAGGAGCAGCTGAATTTGTAAATGCACATAGAAGAGGCCAACTCAGGCAACTTATCCTTCGTTCGAGTAGACATCGCTGGTCGACAAGAGAAAGTCAACGCAAGATTGGCTAGGTAGAATGTCCTGGTGATTACTTTCGTTAACCTATATTTCAGAGTGCCACAAGCCACATCCCCGTTGAATTGTAGTTTCATGTATAAAGGTTTCTTACGAACAGTCGAAATCTCCGACTTCTTTATTATGTCATATATGTACTTCTTAATGGAAGCACTGGGGTAGCCGATCTCGATCAGTAAGTTGTTGATAAATTCAAGCTCCTGACTTAAAGTAACTACTGTACAGATCTCTTTTTTTAGCTCTCAGACTGACTTATACGGTCCTTTATGCTTTAGATCTTTTTATTTATTTTAGTAACCGTTTTTTCCTCATTTTTGCAAGTTACTTAAGACATTTTCTTCTTTCTAAATGTTTCGTGGTTCGTTTTTTCCATATTGTGCTTAACCTGAATATGATGAACTAATTTCATTGTAGATTTTACATATTTTATTATTCTTTTCGCTTCATCATGAATTTATCATTCTTCTCACACCACTTACGAATACACACAATCTGTTATCCTAACACACTTTTCGTTTCACACCATGTCTCTTACACACTAAAGCAAACACCTACTTTAAACGTTGTTAACGATGATTGGATGACAAATTTAGTATACAATTAACCGGAGAACGATGTACTTATTTATATTCCACAAATTTTATGTTTGATTAAAATTCCTTGAAGAAGGTTGGACCAGATTGTTAGACAGAGCGTTGGATTTACTTCGAATTCAGTCACTATGATTTTAAAAATACATTCTTCCTCTTTAGTGTCTCACATCAACTCAGTACCCAAACACCATGAAACTATTCGATCAAATTTAAACGGAAGTTCTTATATACAGATACAGTTTAGTTCTCTTTTTTATGTTGGAAATATTACACGATGTTGAAATATTTTTTCTGTGAGAGAGAACAAATCACATCCCAGCGGAGAAAAAAATCAGGAAGAAGAGCTGGAAGTGCCTTTCTTAAGGAAGGCACCGGACTGCGTCACAAGGGAAGCCCTCACTTGGAATATTCAAGGTCATAGGTGAAGTGGAAGACTAAAGAACACATTACGCCGAGAAATGGAGACAGACATGAGAAGAATGAACAACAATTGGATAAAACTAGAAAGGAAGGCCCAGAACAAAATGGGTTGGAGAATGCTGGTCGGCGGCCTATGCTCTATTGAGGATAACAGGCGTAAGTAAATAAGTGATTATTATACAATGTTATTAACGTTTCTAAACATTTCAGTAGATTAGGAAAAACTACCTAAACTCTAGATTGCTAAATACTATTTTAAATATTCATTCATTGAAGTATATGAATCAATGACTGTCAACCAATGTACGTTTTGATTTGCAATTACTCATGTTACGAATCATATTGCATGAGATAATTTAACACTATTTGACTAATTACCATGTTTAGAATACAGAAACTTTGAGGAACCAACTTAATAACCAAACATATTCATTATTCTCATCAACTACTTTCACATTGTTTTGAACAAAGTAAAACAATTTCAGTAAGGGTTTAATTTGGTGAAAAATCATCTGCTTTTAGCAAACCTATACATAATCTACATTTTATTATTATATTTTCCTACTCAATATATATATGGTTATTCATATGATATAATATAAATTTTAAAACAACCCTTGCCAACTAAGAGATACCATGTGGTTTATATTATAATAATGATATAAAATCAATGTTGTATAGATCATTTATTAGATAATGATTACAAAAAATAAAAAAAAATAAGTAGTAAATATGAATTCGGAAAAAAAACATGAAGTTTTTCAGTTTTTGTAGTTATGAATGAATTCACAGATCTAAATATATAAAATTTGAATAAAATGTACTTTTAAAAGTGATCTATTCATAATATTAATTAAAAGAAAAAATTTTTTAAAAATAAAAACATGAATATAAAAGATTTTCGACAGAACAATGAGAAGACGGAGTTGATCTGAAAAATGTGATGTATGTGTGCTATACATTTGGTCACACATATACCTGTCAGGGTATTTTATATGAAAATTAATAATGGTCAATGAAATGAAAGTTCAAGTAAAAAAAAGTAACAAAGAAGAGAGAAAGAATGAGAAATTGTCGCGTTATCCTACGCCATAGAATGACTTAAGGATTACCAAGGTAAATTCAAGATTACACATAAAGGGGGTTTAAATTTACGAATAGCCAAGGCTTCAATAAACTTGAGGATTTGTCCTTGACAATTTCTATACAACGTACTAAAATCTATATTAATGTCAATTTTGTGCCCCCTCTCAATTATATGTTTCACTATCGATGAACCTGGTTTTCTACCTCCTACATTGATCGTATCATTTGATATACATTGATTTTGAAGCCATCTAGGCACATGTTCAAATATATCACATTTTTCAGATAAACTTCGTCTTCTCATTGTTCTATCGAAATTTATAAAAAGGACTAATTGCTATAAAAGATTTTAATCGCTGAAAAATTCCCATTATATTAAAACTCAATGATATGAATATATGAAAGATTTCTTGACTACTTTCTTTATTGTTTTGTCAGTACCATATACAAGTCGTTCCATAATAATAATAATAATAATAATAATAATAATAATAATAATAATAATAATAATGAAGTGTTTCATACTTTCATTCAACTATTGAAATTTGAAGTTGGTTTTCTTCTTATAAAACATTTTATTAATCATTAAGTTTAATGGATTCTTATGACCGTCATCGTGTATTTATTCAATTTGAGTAAAACTCTTATAGATTTCTCAAGTTTTAAGCTTTTTCATATGATAATTGTTAATCATTATACTATTATCAGATATATTAAATGAAGAATATTCTGTGTTAAAAATATTAAATTTTCATGTATTCAGTAGAACAGATGCTCTAGATGTGTACCAGTAAACAGGGTATAACAATTCGAAAGTTCGCGAATAATATTACAGAACGATGAAGTGTTTTAATAGATAAACAATCAATGTGACAATATAACTTATTCATAACTTTTAATTAGTTTTGCATTAACTTAGTCAACATTATCACTACAGCTTTAATCTGTGAGTAATAAAACTTGAAGTGAAACAATATAAAGATTATTATGCCTAATATATATAACAACAATAAGTATTACTCACCCGAATTACTAAAACAAAATAATAACTGACAACAGTGATGTGAATGGGTGATCAAATTCTTTCATTTAAAATTTCATTTACGTTTATTATCACTAAGAAAGAGAAAAATTGAAATAAAGCATTATATTAAGATAAAATTTAAAAAATTAAAAAATTAGAATAGTTAATATTATTTAAATTTATTATCAGATACCTATTTAATCTCAGAACATATACGTTTGAAATGTGCTGTTGAAGCTTATGACAAGTGAATTAAAAGTTTGTTTACTTCAATCTAATTACAAACTATGTTCAAATCATTTTCAAATGCTGAATAATCATTTAACTCCTCCTATACATTTTCTGGGGCCACCGATGGTTTCAAGACCGGGAAGAGAAGATGGACTGAAGTCAGCAACAGCATCACGAAGAAAAAATCTTGCTTAATATGTTGTTCAAAATAAACAAGCATCATCATAAGGAGTGCATCTCTGTTGAGACCATTTGCGAGATTTGATAAAGGAAGAACAAGAAGACGGTAATGAACAACAGTGGAACGGGAGCAGAGACAGTCAAGGCACAATCTGATTACATTGAAGCAATCAAGCGAGTGAAGAGGGACATTGGAGTCAACAAGTGGAAATACGTGGTGGACATAGCAACAACAACGAAAAATTCTGCTAGAGAAGGAAATCTGAAACAACTATATGACACAACGAAGAAATTGGTAATGAAATATAGTAAACCAGAGAGACCGTTCAAGTACAAATAAGGCAAAGCAATGACTGAGATTCAAGAAGATAGGGATAGTTGGATAGAACAATTTAAGCAACTGTTGAATAAACCAGCTCCATTCAATACATTAGAAATCCATTCAGCACCTACAGGCATCCTTATACACCGTACTCCATCAATGATCCATAAAGTCAGGATGTACATTAGACAAGTGAAGAGTGTAAAAATGTAGCACGACCTGACAACATACCAGCTAAACCACTGAAGTCAGACATAGTAGTACCTGCATATATGCTCCATATTCTATTCAGGAAGGTTTGATGGAGGGAAATGCAAGTGATAACAGACTGAGAAGATGAATACCATAGATATCAAGATACCAAATGAAGGAGATCTGATCAAATCTGAGAACTACAGATGCATCACACTACTTTTGGCACTAGGAAATGATTACAACAGAGGATTGCTGAACCGGATGGAGGATTTGGTTGATGCCCATCTTCAAGATCAACAGACAGGATTCTGTAACTCTAATGCAATATTTTTGCTTCACTTCAGTCATTCATATATTTGTGGCTGTCTACGTTCCATAAGACACAATCGGAAAGCACTTAGTGATATTGTTTCATTGTAGAAGACAACAAGAACTTAACACTGAGTTCTGAACTTTTACGTAGAGCTTTACTAATTGTCATACATCATAAATACTTGATCTGTTGTGACATATGTAACTGCTAAGTATTTACTTAATTAGAATACCCATTTTTCAGTATATTACCAGAAACAGACAATGAATTATCTCTAGCTGGAGATGCGGTAAAGATTTACGTTTAATATTCTCCAATCCTTGGGTACTGTAGATTGATTTAAAGCCAGTAGACCAGTTATATAATAAAGCCACCGGGGGCATGTGAACTTTGGATTCAATCTCAAATATGGTTGTCAGCAAGCATTTTTGAAGAGTTTTGAGCAGGTAGTAAACAGACATCCATAGCTCTCTACTTTTATCAGTCTTTCAACTAATGTACGTTCACGATATAGATTATCGTCAAATGGTTTATAAAACTGTGGCATGACTTTGCCAATATTTAAAATAATTGATAGAGTTAGAACTACTGCTTAACTCCTAAAGATTATCTAGTGTGTAGTTTATACGTATTCAAGTTACAATATCATTTTACTTCGTCATATTAACGACAAATAACTGGTATTTTGTGCCATTATTTCTATTTAAAAGCAATTTTAGATGAGTGTGCTAATCAATGGAACACATATAAACAGTTCCCTACATCAGCTGATCATCGTTCTTTAAAAATCTCGTCTTGACAAAAAAGTAATTGTAAAACATCCAGAGAGACAGATGACACACAAGTCATGAGTAGAAGGGCCATAGTAAAGATCGATAAAAGTATCTAGTTGAACAATGACTTTTTCAATTATATAAAACACATTAACTCACCCTGGCTTGGGTTCATCATCGATCCCATAAGTAACCAATGGACCTAAGTTATCACCAAAATCTTGCTGATAACTTTATAATAGTAAGGCAAATTGAGTCCATTATCTGTGGTAAACAAACTCCTTACCTACAGTCTGATGTATTTTTGCTTCCATATGTTTGCTCAGAATTGACTCCTCTGCATTTATTTACCAGAATGGAGAATATATAATGATCATTTAAGGCATAAATATATACAAAACAGCGATGACATTACAAGAAAAGAAAATACAACGTATTCCAGCATTAAAAGCAACTGCTACATTATTATGCAGTGATGATTGTTAAAATTCCTATTACAATTAAAGACAGGCTTATTTAGTCGATATTTGTGAAAGTGTGGTGAAGTTTTACAGTATATATATATATATATGCCAAAACATTTCAAAATATGTCATTTCAGCTAAACAATAAAGTGGAGTGCTTTTTAGTGACTACCCGAAATCTATTCGAGGTGCATCTATACAACTTTTAATCAAAGGCAAAAAATGTGCCTTTGTCAATCATATACTAAATAATCAAAGAAAGTTATGATCCAGTTTTGTTAAAGCCAAACCTTTAGGAAAGTGAATGGTGATTGGGTATAGATTGAACAACAAATTTAGTGTGTGCACACATTGTAACAGACATTACACTTTCAACTTTGAGGTTGTTTTCTGCGATAGCGGAATTTCCTCCGTGAAACTGCTGACAGCATATTTATACACTTTCACGGTAGCTCGGAATCGCTGCAACTTATTTCAAACTATCAAAATGTTATATTCCCGTGGAAAAACATCATGAATTATCTTTCTGATGGTTCCTACAAATAAAAATAACTTAGCACGCATATTTCCTTAGTACGCTCACGTAAATTGCTGGTATAAATTAAATAGTCACTAACCGTATATTAGCTTACAGTCTGACAGTTTTTTAAGGAAAGTATCTTCCAGATAATTTAGTTTTTGAACTCTATAATTCTAAATTTAGCCTGGACGTTTTCATAAGGGTTATTTGTAACCTATATTACACCTATTTTCAGAAGAAAAAGAATCACCTTTTATGAATAAAGGATGAACTTCCTTTTTTAGACAGAAACTTAATCTATCGCCATTCAAACACTTTACGATAAAAACAGCACTGCTGACAAAATACCATTGATTTATCAAACAGTAGGAGGTTGGGGAGGAATGGCTTTTCTTGTGGGTTTATCCTGACAGAGCAAATGACAATGGATATGGAGTTAGATAGAGATTATTCCTTCACTCCTAATAAACGGCTCTTACTCGTTTAACACACTGAATTCTTTTGTCAACTCATGACTACGATAACCACGTGCGATCTAACCACTTTTTGTTTTTAAACCAGCGCAAGCAGAAATTGTATTACATCTAATGCTTTTGGATCTTCTTTTTTAAAAATGTTTAGTTTTCAAATCTTACCCTATATTATATTTTTCACTAAACGTTATCAAGAGCATACAGTAAAATTAAAATACGAACCGGTAAGCTATATTACTAAGCATGTATCTCAACAGTACGTATCACACAACTACGAAGCCTTTTCACAGTTTTTATCTAATAAATATCGGCTTTGATACTTATGGGGTTTGACGAACCATTGTTACACGATTAATAGTAAACTACAAACAAAATGCATATATCCATGAAGGTTCAGAAATCGTTACAAAATTTTAAATAAAAATCCAGCTATTCAAATCAGTCAGCTTTTGAATTGTATAAAAAGAGCAAACTAATGAATGCAAACCTTTGATTTCCTGTTGCTCCTTTTTTGTTGTAAACCCGTATCTTGTGATCAAATCCGTCCTATGAAACGGAAACATAATTATATCAGCTTAATAAAATAATAACCACAATTTAAGATTTCTTAGTCATTGATTAAGATTAGCATAGTTTCCATGGACATTTCTTTCACAGTGTAATTAAGCTCCTAATTTGTTAAGCCATTTTGATTTTCAAACACTAGTAGATTATACTGAATCCATATAAAGCACATGTCATCTGTTTAGTTATAGTGTTAAAAAGATACATTTCGCTCAATATAATATTTCCTCAAGGTACAACCTTTTTTATGACAAACTTATATATAATTATACTTACGAACCTAAGCACGAAGTAATTTATAAATCAAACCAAGAACTACGAAGCGTCGAAAATTATGATTTTTTCAAGCTAACGCAGGCATATAAAATCCTTCGTAAACCAACAAACTGACCGCCGAAGCTTTACCATCACTGAAGACCAGATAAATATGACACTAATTATTTCTGAATGAATGATCAGAGGAGAGGTATCGGTATTACAGATGGTTAGTCTGTGATATCTCCTGAGATCGTGAAGATCAGTGACTTGGTTTCGAATCCCACAGAAACCATCAGCCCTCTTATCGTTAGATATACGCCGTGCTAAATAGTTGCAACTTGCACTAAAAACAGATCAAGTGCTTTCTGTTGACTATCTCCAACCCTCTATCACCACACACAGTCAACATGATGTCCAGTTACACAGACTAGTGTCTATACTCCAATTTCTAGTAACTTCTGTAACGCAACAAGTGCTGTTTGTCTATCGTTGTCAGCACATCATGTTAAACTTTTACCACGAAGAATACTACTAGTTATGTTTAAAACGCACTATGAGAAAAACCATTCCGCGTCATCACATTTATACAAAATGAGTTTGCAAAGTTGGTGAACCTCTTTCGATCCCAATCCAAAAGCAGATAGGCAACCACAAGAATAAGAATTATAACCTCATTATGTACCCTTACAAAACGACCTCAAGAGTATTTCCAGAAGTCTATTTTTTCTGAGAACCTGATTTATTCATAGTTGTGCCCGTTAGTGTTCAATTTAATCTGTTCTAAAACCAATTATAGTACAACTATACTCCGATGATTTACCTTCATTTTCTCGCGAATTTTAACAACTCCAGTGAATCTTTGTGATGTGAGTAGTTGGTTTATGTGTCTTTAATTGCTATATAAAAGATAATATTAATGGCAATAAACGTATTATCAGACGTTACTCTGTAACGATGTGCAGATATAGGTCAATGATTATAGTTTACAATGATATAGAACCTTCGATGAATTGCTAAGAACGAATGACGGATATTTCATGACTAAAACTGAACAGTTCAGCTAGTGGGCAATTTATTGATTGTTTCAACCACATATTTACGGTAAAACCTGTAGCAAATCTAGAGACATCTAGTAAAATGTTTTGCACACGGTCTACGATGAGAAACCATCAAAATGAAGTTGGTTCAGAAAAGCTAAAAGCAAGAAACGTCTATGGATTTTTTACGTAGGCTATGCGCTTTGCACATCTAGAATCAATCACTATGTACTAAGTTTCAGGATTATCTGTCATCTTTAAATATTAAACTGTATAATACAGTGATTGCCATCACTATGTTTAATGAATGTTGTTCGTTCTATACTCGCAATACTAAATCAAATAGCATTGTGAGCAACACCAAAGATAGAGACACTGTGTCAATATTTTGCAATGTTTTCTAAGTTTTATGCAGTAAGCCCAATTTTTTCAATTTACTACTTCAATTATCTATACGGATTTGACACAACATGATTTGTGAATAACTTACCGACGAGAAATAACTGGTTTACTAAGTATTTTTGTCGCACAGAAAATGAGTAGTATATTGTGGAGTGTCGGTTGCGGCGCTTGCATCCATAATCGCTTGGACAGGGACAAGATGGTTGAGATGAAGAGTCATGATCATTATTATATTTTTCCTCACGTTCAGTCAGACACACAGTGGTAACACAGTGAGCACACATGATATTCATCTCAACTGGTACAAATTAAGAATAACCTATGATCAAAAGATCTTATGAAGCACTTTTACACTCCAAAACACTCGAAATATCTTTATTTATACGGTTTAACACTTTCTGCTCACCCTCTTCAAGGTAAGAATTAGGTCTAAATCTAAGGGTGAGAATGTATTCTTGACATTTCATGTATTACAAACCTATTGTAACGGTTTTATTCAGTAAGTCACATCCGGCACTTCAGGATTCTGAAACACTACATGTCGCTTTAAAAGGAAACGTATAACTGAAAATAAGTCAGTTTGTTATTAATGATATTTCCAGAAAACCAGTTATCCAAAAAAACGCTCCAGTTTATTTCAGTTGATATACAAAGATTGAAAATCAAAGCGAGTTACTGTTTACTATTCGTACTTTGTAAATCATTTTTTCAAAAAAGTTAGTACTCACGATCATCGGACTGCCACTGCAATCGAAATATGCCTCGTCATTACTTCTGGGCCTCATGCCTTGACGAATGCGGAAGATTTCGTACCGATCTATCTTATTCCCTTGGTTGGATGACATTAGGATATTTCGGAAACTAGTGTGCGATTATTTGTGTTGACTTTTATAAATGTCTCGTGACCTTGAACGATATGTACAAATTCGAACAAATACAACTCACATTTCTCAATATATTAAATGCTGAGGAAATGAATTTCAAACCTGCTTTAATCCCTGCATTTTTATTACCAATTATTTGACAAGTGATTCAACCACAAGATTTTCTTGATGATATGAAGAAGAGAAGTGACAGTGCTAACAACAACGAATAGCTGTTGAAACGTAGATCCACAATAGAAGAGCCCAATGCATGCTAATTAGCAGCCAGAACGCTAACCGATTATTAGCTCTGACGGTAAACTATTGATGAAGAAACTCCAGATAAAGCATAAGAATTAAATGCAGTATGTAACGAACTGCAACAGGAAGACAGGCCTCAAATGATGGAGGAAAAACGAAAGTGCAAACTAGGATAAATGTATATTAATCTCAAAGCATCACCAAGAACGTGAAGAGTTTAAACTCCCACATAGATTTATCGTATAGGCTGCTTTGTTAATTGCTCTTTTTATTGACGTTATCGCATCCCAACCATTGAGTCTGCACCTGAGCGTCTGAAATTACATGCAAAAAACAATTTGGACGGTTAAGAAATTCAACATGAGGTACAAAAAACGAGTTCCAGAAGCAGAAACCGTGGGAGAATAACCTCTATATCATTTAAGTGTTGTCTTGTAACCAATCATAAAGAGCCTAAGACAAGCAAAATGCCCCACTGCCTTACATCAAAAACGCAAGTTGATAAAAAGCACAAAATTACGACCATCTGTAGAAAAATAGAGGCGTTAATCAGAGGACACTGTTCTCGCTCGCTGAACGCAACTAAACGGTCTTTTGAAAAAATAACGACGAAACTAAGAAAAATGAAGATGCCGACCGCCGAAATTGTAGATACAGTTGAAATAAGTTGGTCAGCAAAACTATACAATTGAATGAAACGTTAGAAATACTGAAACTGCAGTTAAAATGAACAATAAAATTCCAATTGAGGACCGGAAACCGTTTGTAACTGAGGGTCGGAATAAAAACTATATCTTACATTAAGAACAACTTCAAGGAACCAGGATAATTTATGCAAGGAACGTACATATAAAGAGAGTTTCTCAGGCAAGCAAACACATGCATCAAAACACATTCACAAAATCAACCTATATCCGCTTTAAATGATTGCCACATTCATCAGTCACCCATTACGAAAATGATATAACATAGCAGATAGTCGATACATTATCTATTTCTATTTTTGCCGCTAGTAAATGACCTTCCAGTCCAGACACTGGGACCATGAAATGCCCAAATAAACGGAATTTGAGTTTGGCCGAACAAATAGCAATGTTGTTTATGGACGTTCGCTATTCACCTCTTTACGCATTATTTAGAGAATACAATACTACCACATGCAGTATAAATCTACTCGTCAAGATGGATGGATAAATTACAAGTCATCGGGCTGTTGACATGATTTGTCGGAGATTATTGAAGCCCGTAATTTAATGCACTATACATCTTCATCCAGGCAATCACTGTGCAACTGGACACAATATCAACAAGCCACAATGTGTGTTACTATGTAACTATGGACCCAAGCGAAATCGCTCTTCCGCACTATAATTTCGTCGGCGTTTTTGGTCAGATATATGGCATGTCGTCTATGCCGGCAGGACAGAAATGTTTGTTCACTTACGGCTCCTTATTGTCTGACTTCCTTACGCCTGCCATTTCTCGTGGAGGAGCGTAGGCCACTCACCAGAACTCTTTATCCAACCCTATCCTGGGCAATCCTTTCCAGGTCTTTCCAGTCGTTATCCATTTTCTTCGTATCTGCTTCTACTTCACGACATAATGTGTTCTTAAGTTTCCCTCATTTCTATTTCGCTCCGGGATTCCAAGTTAGGGCTTGCCTCGTGATGCAGTTTGATAATTTCCACAATGTACGTCTTATCCATTTCTATTGTTTTTTCCTATTTTTCTCTTCAACTGGAGGCTGGTTTGTTCCCTTACACTGTAGGCCGTTTCTGATGATATCCGACGAATGGATGTTGAGTATCTCTCGTAGACAATTGTTCGTAAATACTTGTGCATTTTTGATGATGGCCGTTGTGTTTCTCCAAGTTTCAGTTCCGTACGGTAAAATTATCGTGACGTTGGTATTGAAAATTGTGATTTTGATATTGGTCGACCATCAGAAGAAAGAGGAAGGGAGAGAGTAAACAGCCTTGTCTGACCGCGGTCCTTACTTGGAATGCATCTGTCGGCTGTCCTCCATGCACGACCTTGCACTGTAGTCCGTCTTATGAGTTCCGGATAATACAGGAACTCCATAGTTTCGAAGAAGTCTCCTTAATGTTCTCTCATCTACACCGTCAAACTCCATTTCATAATCAATGAAGTTGATTTATAGTGACGAGCTCCTGGTTTGTTATATTTCTCTGCTAATTTCTTCTTTGTATCACAAGGCTGTTTCATATTTCCTTCCCTTGCAGCATTTTCCACTGTCGTTGCTAGTTCTTCCATATATTTCTGCTTGTCGGCTACAATGCTCATCTCCACTTGCTTGTTTGCTTCTATATACTCAGCTTGTACTTGGACTTTCTCTGTTCGTGTTCGGCTGTTGTTAATTGCTGTCTTCTTGTTCTTCCTTTCTTTGATCCTGTCCACTGTTTCTATAGGGATCCATTCCTTATGATGATACTTCTTGAGGCCCAGAACTTCTTGACACGTTGAAGTTAATGCTTCTTTGATACCTTTCCAGTTGTCCTCCATAGTAGTTTCTTCTTCCTTCAACAGGTCCTGTAAGGCTTGGAACCTGTTGTTGAGAGCTATCTTGAATTCGTTGATTTTGTTAGTATCTCGAAGGAAGGCTGTATTGAACCTTTGTGGTGCTGTTTGTCCAGTTGTCAAGTGTTTCGTTAGCTGTAGTTTTAAATAAGCCATAAATAGGTGGTGATCGTGACCGAATCCGTCAAGGAACACTGATTCCCTCAAGATTACAGATACACCTTGCTGACGAGTGCCAAGTAGCACGAAACTCGGATCCGGGGTTTCCTGTTGACTACCTCCAACCACCAACCTATCTCAATATAGAGCAAGTAATGTCGAGTCCCCTAGACTAGTGGCCACATTGCAGCTTGTTCGATAGCATTTGATGCGCACTGAGAAAAAGTTGACACACATGACATCGATCACCACCCAGTGATCAATCAATTGTGACCTGGAGCTATGTTAGCTCCTATCCTGGTTCTCACACCTTCCACTTTCATTCGGAATTTTTTATTGATGCAAATATGATCTATCTGGTTCTCCGTTGTGTGGCCCTGTGAGACACAAGTAGCTTTGTGTATACAATTGTGTGGAAATATTGTGCCGCCTATGAACAATTAGTTGTCCCTCCTTGGGCACATCTCTATGATTGATTGCAGCCTATCGTAGAGCTGATCTTTAATGTCGTCATTGCCATCATTGGTTTGCGCGTAACACTAGATAACATTCATTGTGATCCCCTCTTTTTTGACTGATGCCTTGATGATCCTGGGTCCGTGAGATTCCGATCCTACCAGTACATTCTTTGCTTCTTTGGACAGCATCAGAGCAACTCCCTGAGTGTGTGGAGCATTTACCTCTTCGTAACCGGAGTATCTAGCTTTTGCTGTCCAGCTTGGGTTCGATGAGTTTCGCTTATTCCGAGAACTGCTAATTTGTATCTCCTCATTTCCGTTGCTATTTGACTGGTCTTCCCGGTTTCCCACATTGTTCGGACGTTCCATGTACCTATAAAAATTTTTGCTCTGGTTGTTAGAAGGGACATCGGCCTCGTGGCTTCCGAAGGAACTCGGCTTTCACCATGAAGCGTCATAATCCTTCTAAATGAAGACCTTCCAACTCCCAGGGCAGAGTTTAAATGATTTGAATTATTCTTTCTGGTAAGCGTTTTTTAGCAAGTTAGTCTTCTACGGGATGGGGTTGCTGACCCCATGCCCAACCCTCCTCCTTTACCTTGGCTCGGGATCGACAGTCACTCTGAAAGAGCTGCTTGTGGAGATTCTTAATGTCTAGTGAGATATAACCGATGAGTTGTATTGAAGTTATTTTCCTGTTGCAAATACCTCTCTGACTTATGTTCGTCATCTTGAATTGGATTATTTCACATCGATAATTCCGATAGCAAGCTTAACTGGGCAATTACAAAATAAAAGAGTCTAATAATGGCTTTACAAAGGTGCTTATGATAATAATTGACATGAAAGAAATCGTTTATGTAATCAAGCGCAATGTACTCATTACTGCATCTTGGTGATCGGTTTGATGTTAAACTTTCATCTCTTTAGGATTTTCACTATTTATACGGTCCCTTATCACTTCACTACAGTGCTTTCAGTCTATATTTCTTAACTTATCGAAACTATGGAAAAACTGACCTAATAAAAAAATTAGTCTCAGTAATCACACCGTCAAAGTTGACGTTTTAAGTGACCAGTTATACAATTGCTACAATACGCCTTGATATAGACAGTTATGTACTTAAACTGCACCAATTATCGACGAGAACTTGATTTTCTCAACGCATCTCCCTCAACGTTTACAATAAACATTCATGCTTTTGTAAGATGGTTAATATTCTTATGCACATGAATGTGCCCCCTATTCCTCTGACCAGAGTGTCTTATAGCGTGTCATTATCATAACAAATCCCGTAATATTTGTAACATTTTAATATTGCCTTTAGACCGATGTGCCTTGCGTAACATGTTGTTACCTAAGAACCAATTACTATTGTTTATTGTTGAATATGATAAACAAACTGAAACGACTTTAATAAAACACACGGTCTCAGTGGTAGCAATATCTAAGCTTTTCTGATAGTCTATTCGGTAATATGCAAAAGTAGATATGAGCATCTCTGAAAATGTGGAGGATAATCTATAAACGCTACTCACACAAACAAGCCAGTACTGAAAAATATATCCGTTGTCGGAAGTAAATGAGAACATCGTGTTTTGAGTTCATTAAATTTACTGAATCTCTCAGCTCTCTGTTAAACGT